CAGGCCCCTCCGCAGCCCCCAGCGGCGGCCGGACGGGGACCACGGGAAAGGTGCTCAGGACGCCGAGGAGTTCGCGCACCCCCGAGCTACGGCCCACATCTCCTGGGGGAGGAAGAGGTATAAAATCTTTCCTTGCTGCTGGGTTTTACCAGCCAATATTGGCTAATTAAGCAGCTGCTTAATTAGCATTAAAGGCATCTTTAGCAAGGGGCTAGAGGAAGCATTTATTAGATTAGGTCCTAGTTTTGGAGTTGTTGGTTGTTTTTTTTTTTTTTTTGCCAGAGATTACACGGTTCAGGAAGGACGGCGTGATGCTGGATGACCTCAAGGCAGATGGAGGCAGCGCCGTATCCTCCCACATAGGTGGTACCCAGCGAAGAGAGAAGGAACCACAAGTTTTACTTTAAACACACGCTTATTGGTAAAGCCTCTGCTTACTCACTCGTGGTTTTTTTTTTTTTTTTCAGAAGAAATATTTCTGAATTGGGGAAGGAGAAATCCTTCCAGCCCGGTACTGAATTTTTCTTTAATGAATTGAGTATATAAGAAAATGAAAAATGTTTCTAAAGCCGCTTGAAGTTACTAACAGCAACTGCATACTCCGAGAAAATGTGAAGGATTTCCTGCAGCACACAAGGCGGCGTGGACCAGGATTACTATTGTTTCACTGCTGACCTTGTAATTTAAAAATTCAAAGAATAGCTCAGAAATACAAAATCTTTTCCAGAACTGTAAGACCTATTCAGTACTAGATGTAATTTAAAAAAAAAAACAAACTTAAATACACTTACAATTTGACATATCACATTCTCTGCTTCCGAGTACCCAAACCAGAATTGCGTATCAAAAGAATATTTGGAGTGTTTTACTGGAGACAGTACAAAATGCAACCGACTTACTTTTAAAATAAATCTTGAAACTATTTTAATATTTTTAAAAATTCTATTTAATTGCAAAGTCCCATGTTTGTATTCTCTATCTACTAAAGGATAGATATGAATGAAAAAAGATTTTGAATACTTTCACGATTGAAAAACAACCACAATGAAATATTTGCAACAAATAGAGTATTTCTACAGTACTAGCTAAAATATATAGCCAAAAGAGATTCCATCTATATTTTCTGATTGAATGCATTTTGAGTAAATAGATACATACTTCAGCTCAGTAGCCTTAAATCTGCCTCATGTATTTTGCATTTCTCTAGCATTTTATTTTGGTGATTCTGGTTTTAGTACTTACATGTTTTCTTTTAAATAAATCCCTATCCCCTAGCTACTCTGGGGATGAATTCTAATTTTTTTCCTAAAGCAATCTTAAAGCAAAATTGCATTTTGGCCTGATACGAACAGCATTTCACTTCGTGGTAAAACATCTACAAGTTTACACTTGAGGTTGATCACTGGTTTTCACGTCTAGTGCATGATTTTAATTCCTTTTTTTCCCCCCAGGTGGAATTTGGATCCTCACATTTTCCAGGAGAAGGAGGAATTGAGCGCACAGTGATAAAGCCTGCACGTCTTTTGCACTTTGTCCGTAAAACCAATGGATCTGTAGCTCATCCTGGCCCCCGCTCCAGCCCCGCGGCGTCCCACAGCGTGGACAGCTGCCCCAGAGCAGCGGGAGCCCCACGGGAAGCACCCAGCGAGCACAACTGCTCTGGGCTTGCAGGTGTTACTAGATGGGTGTCTCCAAAAATCGGGCTGGGAGTTCAGAGCGGAGCAGCTGATGTAACCTGAAGTGAGGGTGAAGCAGTGGAGGCCTCGCCAGGCATTCGTGTCATTCTCAGTTGGGTGATTATTTCATAATATACAACAGCCGAGGGGTCCAGCTGGCAGCCTGCCTCCAGAATGCCACGCAGCTCCTCGCCACCCGCTGTGACCTCCGTGGAAACACTCAACAGCTGCCAGGGCAGAAGGTGAAGCCCCAAATCAAGCATTTTTCTTGGCCGAGCGCTCAGGCTGGCGTGCTCCTGTCTCGGCAGGACTTCTGCGAGGCGTTCCTGTGCCGGCATCCCATCCCCGCGCTGGAAAAGCTGGACCGCCCCAAAATACCAACAGCGAGGAAGGACATTGCTGCTTGCCCTGCAAGGCACCCTGCCCATGCAAACGCGTAGCTGAAGAGTGAGAAATCTTAGTGACAGTCCACTGGCTGCATGAATCTCGTTTCTTTGACTTTCCTCGTTTCCATCAAAAGCTGAACTGTCGGACCTGACAACTGGCCGCTGATTTACGTTGCATGTGCTGCAGACGGCTCAGCTGTGGCACACAGCTCAAATGCAGCTGCTGGGTATTTTTTTTTTTTTCCCTTGCGTTTCCAACGCTAGCAAGCAACACGTGGCTATCTTTGGACAGCTCTTGAGCCGGTCTGGCCCTGCCGCTGTCTACGTTCGGGCTCTTTGCCAATGAATGGGACACAGGACGTGCTGTCAAATAGCAGCAGCCGGGGAGCGGTACAGCTGCCCTGCGGGCGCAGGGGGAGAACACCCCCCAGGTTTCACAGCCGGTGCGGTATTATGTGATGAAGTGGTGCTAAGGGAGTGCCACAGTCCCGGAAAATCCTCCCAAGCCTTGAGTTGTGGTTACAGATGTGCGATAAAAAGCCTCCATCTCACGTTAGCTGAGTAAGTCTTGAGGCTCTCATTGAAAAGCAGGGCTGGTAGCGTCCTCAAGCCCTGATCTAATCCATCTTTCTATCCTGAAGCACGATCAACACTCCCTCGCATTATAAACACTTAAGCAAAGCATTTCTGATCTGCTCTTAAAAGCCTCCAGTGATTAAGATTCCTTAATTGTCAGGCCATGACCTCCAGTGCCTTACAATGGCTTTCTTGTTAAATCATTCTCCGATGCCTACCCAGCTACGTTCCGATGCCTTTCAAGACTGGCTTCTTTCCCCTTCTGCAACAGGAAGGATCACATTATGCTCTTGCTCCTTCCAGATTCAGACTACTCCCTCACCTTCTTTTGGTGGCTTTTTTGGTAAGCAGTAGTACCTGTTGTCATCCCTGCACTACTGTGCCTGCTCTAGATTTCACATCGGTTACCTCCCAGGTCATCTCCCCTTAGCCAGTTTAGCCCACGTGTACAAAAGACGGCTTGTCCACTCACTTTTGCCATCTTGATTTCTAGCCCAGAAGGAACTGAAGATGAATAGCCATGAAACTAAGGCAACTAACCCCTTCCTAACATCTTGATTTAAAAACAGCAACTCCCTCCGGTGTTGATGAGGCCAAAGATTCCCATTCTCTGAAAATCCTTCAATTCTTCCCCATCGCAGCGTAAGAAACAGGGTGACGAAGGCCACGAGGTGAGGAGGCTGTGGCACTTTACCAACACCAGCGTCATTCTGAGCCTGCAGCTTCTTAGAAACCAGAGCTACGCCCTAAGCGTAATCAGATCCAGCTCTCACAGTCCTACTGCTTCAAGGGAGGACACGAAGCAACAGAAAGGATCTCTTTTCCTGCAGATCAATGAAATCAATTTCTGCAGTGAAGTAGCAGCTCCTGAGGACAGGCACACCATACTCAGTCATTACCATAATCTTTTGCAACTCTTAATTGCAAACAGACGTAGCTACAAATTGTCACTGAGAGCACCACTGCTATTTGTCTGGATGTTGCCCAGTACAAACGGACTCTAGACCATGCCTGGCGTCCTTAGGTGCTGCCACTATTTCTATTTTTCCCCATCCACAGGAGATTTTCAGACTTTTGGCTTTAGTACAAAACAACTTTTAAAACCTGGGGTGTTTAAGGCTGGTGTGGTGGTGGCATGGAAGTAAGAGGAGGGGCTCTGGGGACCCTTTTGGAAGACGACATTTGGGGTAGAATTGGAAAGGACAATCCAGCTTCAAAATTATCACAACCCACGGTGGTTCTGCAAAAATATTCATGTATTTTCAGATCTAGAAAGGTCTTACTATAAAGCCTTTTTTTGTTTTTAAAGCTATCACTTCACTATCCATAAAGCTATTTATCTACTTTCATTTGCTTAGCTCTGTTTATAATTTACGGAGAAACAACAAATAGTCAATGGTAGACTGTTCTCTCTCAAAGCCTTGAACATGGGCAAACCTTACAGGTTAGTGCCATGGGCTTCCATTTTCTCAGATGACAAAGAAACAACAGAACCTCAGGAGACTCACGCTGCTACATCTCATCTCAGTACAATTTGCTGATCTGTGAAGCCAAAACTATGACCCATGTGAACCAAGTCAGAGCTCAGCCTCTTTCCATGAAGGTAGACAGCTGTCACACACCCAAAAAAAACCCCTTTGGGCTGCCTCAGGGCTTTAGAAGGCAATGGGAACTACTTATTCTAAGCCTTAGATCACAATTTCCTTATTGTTCACTTTGATTAACATATCAAATCCCTGCTGAAGACATTAAGGAGAAATTTAACCGTTCACTTCTGTTTAAAGAAAATGCTCAAACCAAGAAGTGCTCCAGGCATGAGTCTAGAACTCATCTTGACAAACTTGGAAAAAAACATTATGTGTCCCTAACCCTGAAATGACAAGAGAAAACAAAACAAGGGAGCAAAACCCAATGATCTAGTAGATGTAAAGGGAGTCTGTCATCACCATAGTTGCACCTCCAAAGAGACAACTCCAGGAAAAATCCAGAGCCTGGACAGGGAAAAAGGAGAAAACCAGACTCCCTGATCGGTTCAATTCTAAGTGGTAATGGTCAACCAAATCCTGACAGGGACATCTCCTGGTGAAGGTGCTGTCTGGAGGCCAGGTGTGTATCACATACAGAAAAAACGGATAAAGAAACAGTAAGTTTGGGGGTTGTTTTATGAAAAATAGGTGATGTTTACAAACGCAAGGCTACGTCAACACCTAAAAATGAGCGTGCTTGCTGGAAGGTCACAAGTGTGCCATCCAACGGCAAGAAGAGTAAGCCAGAAAGCTGCAGAAGTAGGGCAAAAATTCCAAAATGTTTTACTAGTGCAAATAAATAGACAGTAGAAGGGAAATCTTCCACGCAGGCCGCTTCAGGTGAACTGGAGTTTGCTGGGCTCTGGCATCTCAAGAGTCAGCGTATCAATCTGCTTTGAGAACTCTGCCTCCAAGGCATTCTAGCAGGAGAGAAAAGCAAGAGGAATCAGTGACCATGAAACAGTTTTCCTACATTTTTGTTAGACAAACATATCTGCAATGATCGAACCTTGGGATATTATTAGCACTGATTAACCCAAGTATTGGACCAGAAGGTCTCACTACTGCAAACAGTGGCAGTCTCTGTAGACAGCTCCAGAGAAATCTCCAAATCAAGGGCTAAACAAGCTCGGTTGCCTTTATACTGTGATATCAGACACCTTCAAGCTGAAGAGGTACACTCCAGAGGCAAGTATTCTGACCTGGTAAAAGCCTCAGGCTGGTAAGGCTTGTATTTCTGGATCAAAACCAAGTGGGTTACCGACCTGAGCAGTCCCATCTGAAACTGTACAAAATACTCTCAAATAGCTATGGTTTTTTTGATTGCAGCTTTAACGCTTATCACTGAGTATCTTGCTCTTTGTCTATGAGCAAGCAGACAGTAGCCCAAAGAAATTAAGACAGGTTTTATGTTCAAATGTGGCCCAGCTCACTCAGGAAAGCTACGTACGAACTTCCCAAACAGCTTTATATCAGTGTTTCCCAACAACCATACCTGCAGATTACACAAGCACGGATGAAATGGGCATTCTGTTTTATAGGGGAAGGTCCCCATCGCAGTCTAGGAGACAGCTGTCAAATAAAATACGGGCCCTAGAGCCCTCTGAGAGTTTGGGAGCAGGGAGGAAGGTTGGGAGACCAGTAAGTTGCAACACAGCTGAGTGAATAAACATTCTGACAGGTGAAGCAGACAAAACCCAGAGGGATATAGATACCTAATCCCCACTGATACCATTATGCCCAACTGCCTTTGTAGCTTAGATACCGTTCCTCCACCAGTTCCTCCTACCAATATGCACAGCTTCTGCCTTACCAGAGCAAAACTTCCCTCTAGAGATCATTAAGACTACAATCTGAGGTAGATAAATCCACAACCAATTAATATATATAGCTTGTTTTGGAATGACAGCACTCATTTAAATCTCTGTGAAAGATAAAAAAAAAAACCTTACCAGTTCTCGTTTTACTTCTTCAATCTTCACTCGTGCAAGGGAAGGATTCTAGTGAGAGAAAATGGCATTAAAAAAAAAAAAAAATCAGTATTTCAGCTGGAAACACAGAGTCCCTGCATCATTGCAAGAGTCTAATGATGTACCGCAGGGGAATTCAGGGATAATTAAATCAGTTTTGTGTACACGCTTCACACGCAAAAGGTACTGACATTAAAAACCTAGTATCAGTTTGGTTTGGGCAATCGCATATTTTTCAAAAGTCTGGTATGGCCTGAAGTCTAAAAAAAACCCCTGTTTTCAGCAATTTTCCAAACCTACCAATCGAGGAACTGGACTTTAAACATATCCATGCATGAATTTTCCAAAGCACAATACGCTTGCAAGGATAAACCTCCCTCCCTCCTTCTGCCTGCACCAGAAGCGAGGCATCAGGGCTCTCCCTGTCTCCACTGACAGCAAGATGGGAGGGAGGGAGGGGGGAACTGGAGAACTTAATCCAATTTGAATGTCCTGTTTCGCTTGAGGAAAGGAGGCAGCTGCCTCTTGGAGTAAGACGGATTTAAAAGAGCAGTTCCACCTTCTCCCTTCATCCTTTTCTTCTAGGAGGGAGACAGAGGTAGTTGTATGAGGGAGATGTGTTGAGAGGCAGGAACTCGATGGAGGGGCTAAGGAGGTGGAGAGAGAAGGGTGGCCCAGCAGACAGGCCCCTAGTTCATAATACAAGAGACGCAATTAGTCATAGAGTTTGTGTGATTTTGGACAACTCTCTCTGTTTCTCTGGACCTCTATGCTCCGTTTATAAGCACTGGCAAAAAAACTTTTTCACTTCTTGCACAGAAAGGTCTGAGGTTAGCTCTATCAAAGGCCACGGGGTGCTCAGATGAGGAGGCAACAGGCCATATCAGGTAACTCAAATACAAAACTGTATACTACACAGTCACAACTGTATTTAATAAAACCAAAACCCTTCAACTATTCGCTCCAGTTTTCGCTACTTCTCCCCTGAATGACAAAGAGAAAAGTCTTTATCTATAAAACCAATGGCAATCTTCCAAAGGAGATTGGAAGCAGAATCATAGAATAGAGTCATAGAATCATTTAGGTTGGAAAAGACCTTTAAGGTCATCCAGTCCAACCATTAACCTAACACTGCCAAGGCCACCACTAAACCAATTAAGGGGAGAGTAATAATTAATTTCAGGTTTCCTGGCTTGGTGGCTGGATTATTTATAATGAAAGTAAAACTAGGAATCATTAAGGTTGGAAAGGACCTCTAAGATCATCAGTCCAACCATCAACCCAAGACCTCCATGCCCACTAAACCATGTCCCAAAGTGCCATGTCTACCCGGTTTTTGAACCCCTCCAGGGATGGTGACTCCACCACCTCTCTAGGCAGCCTGTTCCAATGCTTGAACACTCTTTCAGTAAAGAAATTTCTCATAATATCCAATCTAAACCTCCCCTGATGCAACTTGAGGCCCTCTCCCCTCGTCCTAATCAAGTACTATAAGTACTTGGGTTTAGTGGTCCCAAATATCACAGGTGGTGATGTACAGACATCACACAAAGCCAAGGTCTTCTGTTTCATGGACTAAAGCCCTGCTTACCCATGACTTCTTTAAGCCACTGTGAAGTTGTTTACAAAATGACCCTTAACTGAAACAGTCTATTGTAACAAGCGTTCTAATTTGAAAAGAGTAAAATCCTTTTTAGAACAGATGCGTCACACAGCAGTCTGACAGTAACTCCTAGCACAGGGACCAATAGTAACAATAGCCGAAATATAAAATGAAGAAAAGATACACAGACAAGGGCTTTCAAAACTACAATTTAGTCACCTAAATGAGAAAACCTGTGTTTTCAGAGAGCTGAGTACCCAGCACCCTCAAGAGAAATCAAAGAAAATGATGGAGCAGCCAGTACTCACACAAGCTAGAGTACTTGTTCAGGGGACAATGCCTACATTTGGCTTTTTCTTCATAATCATTAAAATCTTGCTCAGAGCTCCAACCTCTGCATAATGTGCTGTGTCCATCATATTGACAGCCTGATGACAAGTATAGCTAATATGTTGGTAAATCTCAAAAAAATTGTTATACTAAGGAATTATATTTTCTTCCACATTTCTTTGTCTAGTTTCTAGCTGATTTACCTTGATACTGAGCTCACCCAGCAAGTCTGTGCGTTTTGTTAGAACAAAGTTTGCCTGGTAAGCATACTTAATCTCTTGGCTTTGATTAATAAATAGATACCCTTCTGTTTAAGTAAAGTCTGCTGTTTACACCATTAGTAGGCCTGTAGGACATTCACCTGTCCACTGAAACCATTACAACAACATCCTTTATGTTCTGAAGTCCATTAAAATTAATCTGATGGAAATACAATAGAACAGTGGAAAAAAATAATTACAGGAGTTAAATCTAGGTAGGACTCCAGTTTCTTCTTCAAAGAAACAATTTCTTCTTGCAGTCCAGCCAGTTTCTGTGAAGAGAGCAAGGCAGATTATATTCTTTAGTCTTACTTGTAGAAGTGATGTAAATCAGTGAAATAGAGCCACAATTATCTACAGCACTTCAGAATTCACAGATGTTGGCGAGAGCTTTCGTGATCCTTCTTAAAACCCACGGAAAACTAAAGATCTGCTGTTCATTCAGTTATCAGTCAGTCAAACCCGGTTCATATTTTACACAGAGGTATCAATTAATTTTTCTTTGTTGTGAAGACATCTTCAGATGTCTCTTCTTGCAGTATAACCACCTGATCTCTCCTCCCTGAAAGGAGGGGGGACTTCAAGTGAAAATCCACCAGACAGAGGACTCTCGCTGTCAACATGACTGCAGGAGAGAACTGAGCCCCAAGGAAGGGGACACATTCTCATGCCCATGGCTTCTGTGTGAAAAGAGTTTTGCACATGCAGCAGCTTTTAAAAAGACTCCCCTCACACTTGCACTGCTTTGCTTATTCTGTTAACAAAGGGAAATAATGTCTCCTTGGGGCTGAAAACTGAGCACCTTCCACAGCCCTCAACTCTTTTCAAATAATCAAAGTACAAAAAAAATGCATCCTGAAGATAAAGCCATTTGTGCTGCCCAATTCACTGAGCTCTTGGCAAAGCAGATATAGAAATGTTGGGGAGTCAGAGCTGCCCTTATGCTCAGGTTCTAGAAGATGACAACTCTAGAAAATTACCTATGACTTTTTGTATGTAAAATTCCAACACAGATGATTTTTGGTTAGTACTCTTCTGAAACACTGTGCAATGTAAACATTGCCACCCAGCGCTGGTTCATGAGAATGACAACATAAAAATCAGGAAACCCATTTTCATTGTTCAACCTAACCAACATGCAGGAAAAGCTGGCAAAAGAAACGGGGAGAAAGACTAAGTTCTCATTACAGTAAGAGCAAATAATATTAAGATGTGGTGAGTGCAGACAGAACAACACAAATACATGTTACATGTGTACAAATGCTTCAGCATGAAGCTGGAGAATCTATAGCTAGTAACTCAAGAATGTGCTTTTTCCTTTCACAAATTATCCTGCTGGGCTTACAATACAGCTGAAAAACGTTATATTTAAAGACACAAGGAAAAAAAAGCACACAGTGGTTCAGAATTTGGGTTTCACCTGACCTCCTCCCCTTGCTCTGAAGTGTTTGAAAGCAGCTTTATTTCACACAAAGTAGCAAGAATCACCTGGCTCATTCTGTCAAGTAATTGCAATACACAGGGAGCCATGTAACAGGCTACAGTTCACAGAATATCCACTCTGTTTATAACATGAATCGCAGAGAGAGGAGGCAGATCACGGGCTGCCAATTTTTTTCTAGTGGCAGGGAATTTATTCCATGGAAATTCTCCAGTAGGCTATATTGCCAATTACAGACAGAGGCAGAAAGAGAAGAAAAGGAAAAAGGCAACAAAAATAAAGATTCCAATTATTCCCCTCAATCAGTCCAGAAGGAAAGCTTCTTTCCAAGTCCAAAATAAGCCCATACCTAACCCTGAAGAAAAGGTGCCACTTCAGCACCCATAGATGCTTCTCAGTTTCTCGGAGGGACAAACCCATCCCATATACCCCACTTCAGAGGTATCCATCTGGGATTTTTATTTGTGCTTCTTTTTTACCATTAATATTTCTTCAGGTAACCAGGGTCCTGAAACCACCCAACAAACAAGCCTGGTCTGTAGCACTGTAGAAACATCCACCTTGTACCGAAAGACCGTACCTCAGACAGGCTCACGAGTGCCTCGTGCGTCAGCGACTGGTCCAACCCTGTGGCAGCAAGCTGCTCCTACAAACAGGAAAGAGTTTGTTCATAACTGACCACAAAATGTAACAGGATTTAAAAACATATATGTAAAGATGATACCATTTCCTTGGGTTTTGATCTAAACAGGCAAACAAGAACGCAGCTTGTCAACAACAGAAATGTGTGCTATTTGAACCACAGCTATAGCTGCTATACAAAATCAGTTGCTACTAAAATTTATGCCAAGAATAACAAGTCTTTCCAGAAGACTGCTGGGAGAAGAGCACATGGCAAGGCTGGGAAGAGGCCTCGCAGTAAAATGTCATCAACTCTAATACAACATTTTCCATCTCATATTTGTCAAGGTATCGGGCAGCATCCAAGTGGGAAATAAAGCATTCACATCTCCTTCATCATGTAGGAGAGGTGAAGGAGAAGACGGTACTTCTGCCTTCTGTGTTTAATCATTCATTAATTTCACAAAATGGCTATATTCAGAATTTTGACACACAATTTACCTCAGTGAACCAGCTGCTCTACTGGCAGCTGTCTGTATACTCTTATATGACAGTACCTCACAATAAGCACAAGGTAGTCCGAGCAAATACAATTCTCAGGGA